ATTATGTGAGAGCTGTTTTCTTTACTTTTTTGGAATGCTGTTTTAGGAACTCATGTTATCCGAGGTCTCAGTTAGATCCATCACCAGTCGTTTTTTCTTGGCTCTTTTTCGTCGCTTTTTCATTAGTAGGTGAGTTTTTCATTGCAGAGTTTGGTTATATTGACGAAACAGATGGCACAGGAAGACGGACGTGCCGTGATCGTTGATGAGGAGCAGAAAAATGTCCAAACCGATCCGTCATTATTTGGCACCCCGTTTCCCCGCTCAAAGATGTATCCTCGCGGTGCTGCTAAAAATCACCAGAAGCGTCCAAGACCACTCAAAATTACAGAATTCTGACACCGTAAGTTATGGCCAGTTCAGCTCACCTTGGCAAATCTTAGCGTTGTTCGATTGTTGTTTGAATTTGCGAAGAACGAGATGTAATTTCGATGATTTGATAGAAATGAGAGATTTTTTAGTGAGAGATTTTTCCCCCTTTCTTCCTTTTTATTTTTGCATTACTTTCTCTTTTAAATACAAAAAAACGCAAAATTTTCTGGAATGGAAAAGGGAATTTCGATCCCTATAACATTGATTGGTCAAGAAAGTTGGTGCCCAGTTTCCGATGTGGTTCTTTTGCGACTGACGATTTTTTTCACAACGGTTTCTTATTTCTCCTCTTCCTTTCCTCGCTCCTACCCCGGAAGCTGCTTTATAGCATAGGTCGGACAAGAAGTGGGTTTTATATGGGAAAAAAGAGGGTGGTTGGTCGGAAAAATTTCAGTTTATCGCACTGACAGCAGCAAAAATTGGGCTTGATGGCAAGATGCCCACTCAACGTGGTCCATCTCCGGCCAATGGCAGTGTGTACGGTACGTCTCCATCCCTAAATTATCATTATTACTAATGTCAAGGTCCTTTTATGCTTATTAATTTGAACTTTCGTGACCGTTCTGGAATGTCTAGAATCAGTTGATTGAAGCATTCGAAAGCCTTAAAGCTATATTGTTCTGGCTTTTATGTTTGGTGAATAACTGGAATTTGAGAAGACCTGGTTCCCACTAGGTAAGGCTTACAGGATTTTCATCGAAACAGTTGGGTAGTAAATTCGATTGGCTCCTTTCCAGTTAAGGTTAGTGGCGAAGAGTTGGGGGAGGGGAGGTGGGGAGGTGAATTCGAGACATCCTCTCTGACTTTTTTTTTGTAGCTTTGCACTTTTAGCAATTTATACTGCATCAATTTTTATCTACTAATTTTCCATGGTATATATGTGTTCCTGCGGATTCGGTTTCGATCAGACGCCTCGGTGTTGTATTGAGGTCTCTGTGGTCTTGCCATTCACCAGTTCGGTTCAAATCTGGCGTACAGTTTAGCATATGTTAGTTTTGTTAAGTTTTCCTTTTCACGAACACTTCAGTGATGGAGGGAGGTCAAAGCTGGCTTGGAAAATTAGCCACATAGATTATCTGACTGCCATCATTCTAATATTTCTCTGCGTTCAGTGCTAAATCGCTTACAGATTCCTGAGATGCAATTATTGAAGCGGTGATGGAACCGCCCGGGCAGTCAATTGGGTTTTCATTTTAGCGACGTTACTGAAATTCTCCGTATGTCGGACCAACCACATTAGGCGCTTGAGCTGAAACCTCCAGTTTGTCCCTCCGCTTGTTTAATGTGTCTACTACGCAAGACAGCCCGAATGACTGTTTACTTTCTCGACAGTGTGCACCTCTACTGGTTGTCATCAAAGTGAGCGACTTGCCTTGCATACCAGACTTTACTTTTTCGCGTGTTCGCGGTGATGTCCTACATGCTGATCATCTGATGTAAGATTTGGTGTAGCACGGGCCTATATTTGGACTAATGTGCGTAAGCGAGACGATCCACGCAAAAATGAAAAAGAATAAATAGAGAACAATGAAACTGAGGCAGCAATGCACCAGCCGTGCTGGTGCGATCATGCGTTTTTGGCTAAACTTGCAGATCGTTAACAGCAGGGACGGTTTCTACGCTGTAGTGTAATACTTGTACTGGTACTGGTTATATTTCGGTGTCACCACACGTCGGAAAAAGGGCGTCGACTGGGATGAAGGTGTTGTCGGGGAAAAGCGCCTCGAATGGAAACAAGAAACAAAGGAAACAAAAAAAGATACATAAATTACATGAATTTGTTTTTTGCAGTACCGTAACTTCCTTTGTAATAACGGTACCGCCGTCAATCAGCGGCGCCAACATCAGTCATATATTCAGCTCTTTTTGTAAGCTGGATCCAGCTGGAACGAGGCTGAGCTCCAGATGGGCTCGGTATCCGATTTTTCCGGCAAATTTTTAATGTTAACATTTCTTTCTACACCGACTGGACGCCGTCCACCAACATCAGCACACCAACTAGATGCCGTCTACCAACATCAGCACACCGACTAGACGCCGTCTGCCAAAATCAGCACGCAGTCCGCCTCAGACTTTACTTTCCATCATTTTTTTCTTATTGTTATTTGCTGTCGCATAAATATACCTGTGTTACCTCTAGTTGACAAGAACAATTGAGGTTAAGCATAATAATGATGGAAAACTCCAGAGAAGTCAAGGTCGGAAAGAAGAAACTTGTGTTTTCACCACAGGTGTTGCGTTATGGAGCTGCATAGACCTTCAGCGTGCATGTTTATCGATTTTTTGCA